GAACTCAGACTTTACCTAACTCTGACAAGGTAGGCAGCCATTGATATATGTGCTTTGCATGCTTGTTTTAAGAAGTGTGCAATGTTGAACTTGTCATTGTTTTTTTTCTGTTTGTGAATGTGCTTTATGTCATCGGTTAGTTTTGTTATTATCCATCCATCCATTATCTTTTACCCACTCCTTCCATTTTGGGTCACGAGGGTCGCCGGTGCCCATTTCCGGCAATCACTGTGCATTGTGGGTACACCCTGGATGTGTCGCAAGTCCATCACTGGGCCACATAGAGTCAAACAACCATTCACTCTCTCACTCACACCTAGGAATTTTTTAAAGTTACCAATCAGCCTAACATGCATGTTTTTGGTGTGTGGGAGGAAACCCGAGTACCCGGAGAAACCCCTCGCATGCACAGATAGAACATGCAAACTCCACCCAGAAAGGTCCCCGGACCGGGATTTGAACCAGGGACCTGCTGATAGTAATTACCTGATTTAAATATATATATATATATTATTATTAGTAGTAGTATTATGTATTATACAAAACATGCACAGGCAACTTCTTTCTATTTTGTCTGTAAAAACGGAGGTATTGTGCATTTATCTATGCAAGTTACGTGCATATCCTTATTTGTAATTCTGCATATTTATAGACATCAACGTTCTCACCTGTAAGCTTCAGGAAAATATAAATCCTCTGACTCTGTGCTCGTGCTGACTTTAGCCAATAAAACATTTTCATCATAAACAACCGTAGCAACTTTTTTCAGACCAGTCAATTTATATTAATCAGAATACAAATTAGGGTTTGTGTTTTTTTTAACTGGCATATCAATTCAAACAGTTTTCTTAATAATGTAGGCTAGTAAGACATTGTGCTAAATCAATTTATTAAGTAATTTCTGCTTTTGCAATGTTAACAATATAATAAAACTAAAAATGAAACAACTGTACTTCCCTTAAAAATGCTGTTTTTTTAGCGCTCTCCTTGGTACTGAAATAGAACACATTTTTGTTTTTACTTGAAGGACGTTGCTCAATTGTCAGACACTGATTTTAAATGGGTATATCATTTTAAGTTTTTGACTAATGCAAGTGTAAAAGAGTAAAATAAAGTCTCTGTTCCACACACACACACATCAAGACAGACAGACATCTAGATAGACAGACAGACAGACAGACAGACAGACAGACAGATAGATAGATAGATAGATAGATAGATAGATAGATAGATAGATAGATAGATAGATAGATAGATAGATAGATAGATAGATAGATAGATAGATAGATAGACAGACAGACAGACAGACAGACAGACAGACAGACAGACAGACAG